TGTAAAACAAGTGTGAATAAGTGTAAAACAAGTGTGAATAAGTGTAAAACGAATGTGAATAAGTGTAAAACGAATGTGAATAAGTGTAAAACGAGTGTGAATAAGTGTAAAACAAGTGTGAATAAGTGTAAAACAAGTGTGAATAAGTGTAAAACGAGTGTGAATAAGTGTAAAACGAGTGTGAATTCTTACACGTTCGTGCACAAATTTTCACAATGGATGATATTGAATGCAGTATTACGTTGCTGAAATTTCTTGAGTAACATGTATTTCAGCTCAATCAACGTGCATACACGATATATATGCTTTTTTACCAACTTTCACCAAATCACTTACAAACAAGGCTTATGATTCATCCACATGTATTGCACCCATTAGGCAACATCACGTTTAGCGGTACTGTTCTTTTGTAGATATGTATTCGTGTTCTTCCTTTATCAATGTAAATATATGAGTTATGCATTTTCTATTTGTACACAATATATTTGTAAGGTAAAGAAAATTTCACTACAAAAATTACGCACCCAATCGGATCACTTTATACGACGTTAGTTCCTGAAGCAAGCATTTATCATATGCGAAACAATGTTGGAAAACCAAATTATGAATTGGGATGTTAGTAATATTTTTGAGAGAATCTTTAAGTGTATGATAACGTGCATTTCACTAAACTTCGTGAAAGCAACAGTTATATCAATGAAACACAATATTTTGCTGTATTAATGACATATTTAACTTCTTTTACCGAAATGAGACTAATGTCATCCATGTTTAAGACACGTCTGAAACATGTCTGGTTACTGTACAGGAGACATTTTTAGATGTTCCCCAAACATGTTTCAGACACTTTATTTACTAGTGTGAAACTAGTATAATGTCGGACGATGATAACACTTTTGGGACATGCATGTATTCGCTACAAAAACACACAGTTAAGGCATGTTTAAGACATGTGTGGAGCTAGACTGAAACATTTTATGTAAACATATCTGAAACATGTTTCAAACTTCAGAAATATAAACATGTTCCAGACACACTTCAATACGATTAGTGGTCACAATGAACAAGGACACTCTAATATCAGGTTCAGCATTTATTCCAAACAAAATTTCCCAAATAAATCATGTGACAAAACAAACGAATTAATGAAACCCATATTAATACATTATAAATTGCATTCATCAAATACATCTGATAATTAGAACATCAATGTAAGCAGCATTCCCAAATGTGTGTTCCTATGTTGAAAAGCACAATGGTCAACAACAGAACTCATCCCATGTCTGTTATTGTGATTTCAATGAAAATTACTTGACTCAAACTGTCTAATAAATAGCTGCAGCTTTTTAAATCAAGTTGCAGATGACTTCAGGCATTGGTTGCTGACAATTTAGTGAATGGCAGTTTAGTGGTAGAATTTTACTATTTCTGAACTTCGGCGTGCCAATGCTACCACATGTCCATATCCAATTTTGTAGTTTGAAAACAATTTAATAAACATCAAGGTTTGAAAATTTACTGAGGATAACTGGGACGTTTTCAGAACTAGTCTGTAACATGCCTGCATCAAACAAACTATTCTGGAACTAGTTTTGGAATAATGATTTAATAGAAAACTTGTCAGTCATGCTACAAACATATCTCAGTTGGAGTGCACAATGTGCCAGACATGTTTTGGACATGTCTAAAAACATAAACGGGTCATGTTTCTGACCAATATGGGACATGTTTTAATAACCGCATTTGGCAAGGGTTCAAAATAGATTATTGATATTATTATTTTATAAGTTTGATTTAAAATTCTATTTAGTTATTGTCGTTTCAAATTAATTTCAAAGCTCCACGGCATCAAACAACGACTTGTCATTTACCACCAAAACATTCACGTAAACTTGTAATTTTGTGATTCGAAACATCGTATAAATAATCCAGAAGAAAAATTGACGTCATCTGACAGTCTGGAAAATCAGAATCCAAACTCAGTATTCCCCCACTATGCACGAGTTCTTCGTGAATGATCCTTAGAGCTTTCGGTGTTCGTTTCACATCCTCATATTTGAAATACGTCTCTAACGTTAGGCTGCCTATAACAGATAAATAAAATTAAATAATAACAATTTGTGGCACAATGACGCGAGTAGCATTTACAGATCCAAATTACAGTCTAATAAATAATTATGATAACAATATTCGACAATGCGAGTTTCTTGAAATTGGCAATAGTATTATTAGTACATTACATAAGTTCTAAATCATTTTCTACTGATATTGAACATAATACTCCGCTACACGTCCAAGTTCAAGTGTGAGAATAATTTCATATATTCAAACTCAATTCTGATTTTGCTGCAGATGTGTCGACGAAACATATGGGTGGCATCACTGTTCCAAGTTCCAGATGGATAGGCATCATGCGCGATTCGCCAAGACAAAAAAAAACAATCATTATGGAGACTGGATAACGATGGGAGTGGTTGTTTTGATACACACGGTCACTTTGTTCCAAGTTACCTACTACCAACGTCACTTCTTCCCCACACGATCACTTCATGCACGTTTAAGGTAGCGAGAAGGGAAATTTTCACTTTTTTCTTGATTTTTTAAAAATTGATAAAACGGTTACTTTAGACCTTGATACATCACCCCAGGTTTACAAAAGATCGAAATTGCGAAATAACGTTGCTCAAATTAGTGTTTTAAAACACTAGCAGAAAAGACTACAACTG